ACCGGCCCCCCCGGCCCTGCTCCACTGCGGCGTCTGCCTCCTGCCCGCGGGGCAGAGCCCGCCCGACCCTCGGCGCCCGGCTCTGAGGCAAAATCTTTCCTCGCTCCCGTTCTCCGCGCTGCACCCCGAGCTTTAGCGCGGCAAGGCCGAGGGGAGCTCGCAACGGCAGCGGCTGCCCTGCCGGGCTTGCTGTCGTTCGGGAGCTTCTTTTTTCCGACGGGAGACGGGCGCCCGGCGGCGGGGAGAGCCTGACAGCAGGGGTCCGTACAGCCCTGGCGAGATGCTGTGGTGGGAGATGTACGCGAAGAGAGCAATTACCTGGCAAACAGACTTGGTTTCTTTATTTGAAAGCCTGGTAAAAGACACGGTATGATAGGTATAAATAGAAAAACAGTTCAGTGTAGTAGCCAGCCTTCATACAACGGGAGGCTGTGAATCACAGAGCGACAGGACGGATTAAAAAGTGGAGCCTTCAGCGCTCATAAGAATTGAGAGTGGAGGCAACCACTTGCTTGTCCTCTAGACTAGAAATTCTAATTGTCCTAAGAGTTGGATTTTTACTTTTGTATTTACAAGTGTGCAGGGGAGGAGTTTTCTACAGGAAAAAAAGCATAGGATTGAATGTAAATGTGCTGGATGGGAGTGTTGCTTGTCTTACCTTCAACCTGTTCAAAGAAGTGATTTTTAAGAGACTTTGCATTGTATTAAATAAAAAAATACTACCATACTAACTTGTCTACTGAGTCAGATCCGTGTGGGAAGCATGCTTAGCTACAACAGCAACAAATACGGCATAAGTAGTGCTATTACAGTGTTCTGCCTTTTCAGTTTAGAGGGTGAGGAAACTGAGGTTTTCCTCTACAAATGCTATTAATTTTGTAGGTGTAATAGGTTTTTTGCCTTAGAATCTAATTCTTATCAAGGTTGTCTAAACTGGCATATTTTTGTGGTTATGGAGTTCAACTTATTGGTAGTGCCATTAGCATGTTTTTGTGGAAGCTCTTTCTTGTAGGCAAAACTTCATTAAAATAACAATTTCATATGATTTGTTGCTGTATATCTACTGATAAGCAATGCAGTGATTCGTCGTTAATGGGGAAAATGTCATTAAAGCTCATGTGACAGAGATAAACTCAAGTCTGTTTCCCTTGGGAGGTAAAACAAGTTGTAAAAATGTTTTCATATTCTAATCTCATTTTGCAATTTAATATTTAAAATTTATCTTAGCATTTTATTTCATTGTAGGTAATTTAAGTGATTTTCTAGCATGGATACTGTTGCTAGCCATAGTTGTCATCTTCTCCAGCAGCTACATGAACAGCGCATTCAGGGTCTTCTCTGTGACTGCATGCTGGTGGTAAAAGGTGTCTGCTTCAAAGCACACAAAAACGTATTAGCTGCTTTCAGTCAATATTTCAGGTATGTGGTAGAAAATTCTTCCTAAAAAAAAGTGAACTAAATGCTGTTGGTTGAGATTTTCTCTGAGAAGGGTATTGTTTTGTGGTAGTTACAGAGTAAGTAACTGTCGGCGTATAAGAGGAAAAGTTAAAACGGTTTTTTGAGAGATAAATCTCTATTAAGTATTTAATCTAATTAAAACCTATGGTCATCCTAATTTGTTTTCTCGATATACATAGTTAACTATTACACTCTTTGAATTTGTAATTTTCTTGAACCTTAATTGCTTATGGTGCCTCGTGTAATGGATTCTGGCATGGACCTGCATTCAGAAATCTGGTATGAAAAGATAACTACTTAGAGGGAGTGTAGTTGAGTACATGCATAGAGCCAGATAAGAGATATAATTAATGAAATAATCAATTTCTGAATAATGTGAAGTGTTTCATCAGTTACGTATTCAAAATAAAATTTGAGTATATAGGTTGTTACTGTGTCTCTATTTAGGACATATTCTCAGAAAGACATCTGTGTGTTAAAATATACAGGTGGCCTATGAAGCCACATCACTGGTTTCTTTCCCCTCTGCATAGCCCTCACTGATCCTCCAAAGTTTGCACAATGTTGGAGCTCCCAACTTAGTGTTTTATGTTATTTATGAGTAAGCTGTTAGATCTGGCAGTTTTTAGACCTTGATTCTCAAAATGTCTCTAAAGCTTGACTACCAGTTCTTATATAAGAAAATTATTTTTATGTTCTAACCAGGGAAAAAAGATGACAGAGTTTTTTTTCTTGCTAATGTTGTAGTCCTGATGATGAAGTGAAATTATGCTCAAAGGCTGAATTTTTAGTGTAGTTAAGAAGAAATAGGCACTCAACTCTTAGTAAAATACAATAGGATATAAGCAACTAGTTAATTTAGACTCTCAACTCAGATCTCTTTAGTTCTGGTTTGAATTTAGATTGTGTGGGCTAGACTTATGAAAGAATTTTGATGTGTGCACTGGGTTCAGAGTAGTATTGAGGATGGGACAATTAAAGTATGAGGATGCATCTGGAACTCTGCATTTCTGAGTTTAAGCCTAGGCAAATTTGCTTAAGATTCAGAGCTTGTTGATACTATGCTCATCTTTAAACAAAACCTAATTTGAGAGTTAACCCATGGAGAGGAATCATCAAGTTCAGAGCATTTCCTCATGTAGGAAAATAGCTATGTAGGAGTGACCTGACCCCATTTATGTATAATTGTTACCTGTGAAAAGTATCAGATTGGAGATTGGGGGTTTTAATTGAAGAGTGTGAAGTTTCAGGCTGAGGCAGAGTAGGAACCCACTTAATCAAGTGCTGGTTACGCATGTGAAGAGCTATAGCTCTGATGCTAAGAATTCATCAAATAGTAAGAGGTCTTGTATTCAGAGGTCATGTAAGGTTTCAATAACAATTCAGTAAGTATTGGTTCAACTGCTGTTTTAAGTTCATGTATCTGTACTCTTCATTATCCTTTTGCTTGGTTCTCATCCAGTGCTAGTAAAAGAATACTTTTTGGGAGGTGCGAGGGAATAGATTGAAAATAATGCCATCCTTGTTTGCCGCTACTGTCCTCTCATCTACTTGTGGAGAAAGAATTAATAAGAACCTTAAAAAGTTCGGTGGACAAGCTCAGTTGCCAGAAGTGTTTAGCTGACTTTGATATCTGTCTTCTCCTTTTTGCTAGAAAATTTATCCTGTTCTGTTTTGTTTGTCATGATGGAAGGAGAAACACTATTCTGAGTCAATAAACTTTTGCCCATAGTCCATAAATACACCACTGCACCTAATATGTGAAGAACATTGAGTAGGAAACTGCAAATAGAGCATATGATTTCCAAACATAAAAAAAATTAGAAAGTTAAAGTTATATAAAGGATCATTTGCCTTGATTTGTATTTTAAGTGTACCAGCATAGGATTAATACAGAAGACAGTTGAGCGGTTTCAAGATGTTCATCTGCAAAAACGCAGCAATCTAGATAAGACCATATAGTGCATATTGTTATTTCCAAACAGACAGTCTGAGGTTTATGTACATTTTTCTTATTAAAGTGTTTTTCTTATTAAAGTGTTTGTGAATTACTTGTGTTTGTGTTTGAATATATTTGCCTTATTTTATCAGGACCCTTTTCCAGAATTCTTCAGGCCAGAAGAATGATGTCTTTCACCTGGACATTAAAAATGTAGGTGGCATAGGCCAGATCTTGGACTTCATGTACACCTCTCGCCTGGATCTTAGCCAGGACAATGTACAAGCTATGTTGGATATTGCGCAGTGTCTCCAAGTGCAAAATGTGCTCAACATTTGCCACACCTTTTTAAAATCTTCTACAGCTGTAGAGCAAGCAGCCAGCATGCCTTGTAATAGCGTATTTTCACTGCAGAGCACTTTGGCTGCAGATACTGGCTGTGGTAACGACGGTTATGGAACAAACCTGTTGCACGAATGCTCATCTGATGCACAAGCTAATAAAGTCTTGGCTGACCCCCATTCTCATGCATCGCAGTCTGTTAATCTTCAGGCGCCCGCAAGTGATGTACAGAAACAACCACAAGACTCCTTAGATGGCAGCTGCACAGAGATTCCATTTAAACAACCAAATTGCTATTATAAACTACGGAACTTCTACAGTAAGCAGTTCTATAAGCAGAATGCTTGCTCTAATCACGAGAGAGGAGCAGAACAATCCTTTTCTTACAACACGTCTACAGAAATAAACGCAGTAGAGAGTAATTCTTGTACGGTCAATCACTCTGAGTGCATTCTGGAAACCTCTGAACATTTACCATCAAACTTTCTCGTTCAGTCTGTGAATGAAGCTGCTCCAGACCAAGATACAGAAAGCACGCTTATGCAGCCCACCAAACAGATGCGGCTGAAAAAGGCAATACACCTCAAAAAGTTAAATTTTCTAAGATCTCAGAAATCTGCAGAGCAGCCACCTGAACCTAAAGTAGATGATAGCAGAATAGCAGGAGTAGTTGAATCTGTAACTGAAAGTACCGTGGACGTGACAAATGTTAGAGTTACTGATGAAAAAGAAGCTGAAGATTTAGTGAATTCTGAGAATTTTGAACAAACTGTTGAAATCGAAAGGTCTCAGGGTCCTTCAGAACAAGAAGGGCAATCACAGAGTCTTCAGTCACAGAGACAATATACTTGTGAATTATGTGGGAAGGCTTTCAAACATCCAAGCAATTTGGAGCTCCATAAAAGATCTCATACAGGTACATTTATCAGTAACTTGATCTGTGGATGCAATATTTCAATTAAAGAGGGTGTCTTGCAGTATCAGAAATGCTAGTTAAGGGTCTACTTTAAAAAAGTTGTTATTTTGTTGTTTGGTTTTTTTTAAATGAATAATTATACAGGAATAAAGACTGTAAGACTGAGTTTGAGGGCTATAGTAAAGAATTCTTCCTATTTGTATTTTTAGGGTTCTTTTTAAAAGAATGTTGTGTGATATTTCAATGAAAATTTAATTTTTGTGTTGCATTCAGAAGAGACATTTTTAGTCAGTTCATCAGATGGTCCAGAAGTCCAAGTCAGATAACAATGAAAAGTGTAAGTGGCTAGAAAATGATACTACAAGTGTTCTAGATGACCTCAGTTCTCTCTGATTATAAGTGATGAAGGCTTGATGGTCATTTCTTTTTGACCTGTAGAAATACACTCTATAATTAGTTCATACATTTTTCCTAGTGTGAACAACTTTCTTTGTGTTTACTTTGAGAGTAATGCTCTTGCAGACAGGTAGGGCGCAGAGTGAATGGGAATTTTGAATTAATTTACTTTGTTTTAAAAGCTCGTAGGTAATATTGTTATTAAACTTTTATTTTAATGTATCTTTCTATACTAGTGAAAACAAGAACTAGTCTAACTTTACATTAACTAATTTGTCTGTTCAATTTAACCAGCATGTTCTATTATATTTCTACAACTTTAGATAATTTTTTAAAAAAGGATTTTTAAGAATTACCTTAACTATTGAAGTAATACTATTGATTCCAAGTCCTTGAGATGGCATTATTCCTGATAAGCTGTTGAATATTTTTTGCCTTTCTTTTTCTTTGTATTAAACGTACAACTGCATCTCTCAATCTTATAAAATGAACATCACTTTGCAAATGATTATACACGTGTTGGAACTTTGACAGTAAGTATGAATCCCTCTTAGCAGACACTAATTTCTTTTGTTAACTAATACTTAGTATTAATTTATCTTTCCATGTTAATAGTAGAAAAATCTTTACAGAGCCTGAAAATGCAAACATTTTACATTAGATTCCCTAAGTTTTCACTTAGTGTCTTTGACTACTTCTGTATGTTCATGTTACTTTTTTCTTTTTAATTTGGTCTCTTGTGAAGAAGTTTCATGTGTCTCTTCCCTAGATCCTCTCTTTGCCTTGTATTTTTTTAATCTATTATCTGAGCTCAGCTGACATCATCAGGTGTATTTAATATCTTATAAATTTCAGGAAAATAGATGATCAGGTAGAATATGGAGCATCTAGAGAAGTCTCAGCTGAGGGAGAGACTCTGAAGTCAGTAACTTGTGAGTTTATGCTAGAGAATCTATGTGAAAGAGAGACCTCAACTGTGAGAAGCTGTTAGAATTTGTCCTTCCTCAGAAGGTTCTTTGGAAGAAGTCTGGATTTTGTGAGTTCTAAGCTATTTGTATTTTTAAAAGCATGTTCACCAAGTGATAGGCTTATTTATTTTATGTTTCAGAGTCTGCTAAAACCACACACAAACACCCAAAGCATGGAACACAAGGCAACAAAGCGTAAATTGGTGTTAACAGTGGAAGACTTATACGTGCTGTAAATAAGCCTGTGTGTATTTTTGAGAAGTCTCCTGATTGCTGAACCAGTTATGGTTGTATCCCAATCAAAGGCCATTAGAAAAACTGTGGGCACCCAGACAGAGGCCCCACGCAAGCATGCGGGTGTTCAGGTCTTGAGCTGCAGAGACTGCCAGAGCCTGGCACTTGCCATGGAGGGTAGCGAAGACAACACCTCTGTCAGATGTGACCAGGTGAATGACCTGCTCAGCCTGGTGGCTGAGCTGAAGGATGAAGTAGCAAGGATGAGGACTATCAGGGAATCTGAGAGACAAATAGGTTGGTGGAGCCACTTCCTGAATAGTAAGCAGCAAGCTCCACAAGGAGTGGAAAATCCCCTCCCCATGACCATCAGGAAAAAGGACGGGAGCTGAAGGATGGCAAAAAGTGGAAGCAGGTGCCTGCCAGAAGAGGAAGGAACATCCCTGCCTGGCCTCCCTCACCTGCCCTGTTGCCCTTGCAAAACAAGTATGGGGCTCTAGACAATGAGAGCCAGGCAAAGGAAGAGATGGGTGGAGGTTCATCCATAGGGCTGTCTACAGTGAATCAGCCAGCCATACGCATTAGGACTTGTTTGTCCAAGAAAAAAAGGAGGGTAATTGTTGTGGGAGACTCCCACAAGGGATAACAGAGGGCCCTCTCTGCCACCTGGATCCAACCCACTGGGAAGTCTGCTGCCTACCTGGAGCCCGGGTTAAGGATATTATTAAGAAGCTTCCAGGTCTGGTTAAACCCTCTGATTATTACCCACTTCTGGTTATGCAGATCAGTAATGACGAGATAGCAGAGAGATGGCCAGAAGCAATCAAAAGGGACTTTAGGGCACTGGGACGGATGCTTGAAGGATCAGGTGCACAGGTTGTGTTTGCCTCCATTCCTTCAATTACAAGGAGAAATAGTGGAATGTGCAACAAAGTGCAGCAGATTAATGCTTGGCTAAAAGGGTGGTGCCAATGGTCTAGCTTTGGGTTTTTTAACCATGGGGAGATTTACACGGCACCTGGTCTGCTAAAACCAGATGGGGTTCAAATGGCGCAATGTGGAAAAAGGATCTTCAGTCATGAGCTGGCAGCACTCATAGAATGTGCTTTAAACTAGATATGAAGGGGGAAGGGATAACAATCACATCAAATGAAAACGACCCTGGGATACACGTAGTAACATCAGAGTCACTGGCAAAGATGCAGTACAATAGTACTTTGTTGGGGGATCCTGGTACCTTATCAGAGGCCCAACTCAAATGCTTTTATATGAATGCCCGCAGCTTGGGTAATAAGCAAGAAGAGCTAGAGGTGCTTGTGAGTCTGCAGCACTACGGCCTGATCAGCATCACAGAGACGTCGTGGAACGAGTCCTGCGATTGATGTGTTGGAGTAAAGGGGCATAAACTGTTCAGGAAGGTGGGCAGGGGAAACGAGGAGGGAGTATTGCCCT